CGTGGACTACACGCCCTACTTCTATGCTACTAATAATTTGTTAGTCTCTAAGGTGCCACAAGTACTCCTCCTTTTGACAAGGTTCCTCATCAAAGGCTCTTGAGCAAAGTAAGTTCTCATGGGGAGGGTCCTACTAAATTCACTGTCCATTTTGGTCAATTTCACGCTGATAGGATTTTTTAAATGGTAAATTTCATGATTTCAGCTATTTAAATCTGAAATTTCACAGTGTTGTAATTGATGGGGTCCTGACCCAAAAAGAAGTTGTAGGGGGTTGCAAGTTTATTGTAGGGTGGTTGCTGTACTGCTACCCTTACTTCTGTACTGGTGCTGGCAGCGGCTCTGCCTTCAGAGCTGAGCAGCTGGAGAGTGGTGGCTGCTGGTCGGGAGCCCAGCTCTGAAGGCAGAGCTGCTGTCTGCAGCAGCACAGAAGTAAGGATGACATGGTATGGTATTGCCACCCTTACTTCTGTGCTGCTGCCTGCAGAGCTGGGCCATCAGTCAGTAACTGCCTCTCTCTAGCCATCCGGCTCTGAAGGAAGCAATGCAGAAGTAAGGGTGGTATGGTATGGTATTGCCACCCTTCTGCACTGCTGCTGGCAGGGCGCTGTCTTCAGAGCTGGACACCTGGCCAACAGCTGCCACTCTCCAGCCGCTCAGCTCTGAAGGCAGCACAGAAGTAAGGGTGGCAATACCACAGACTCCTTAAAATAACCTTGTGACCCCCCCCCCCCCATTTGAGAAATGTTGGTCTCCCCCATGAAATCTGTATAGTATAGGGTACAAGCACACAAAAGACCAGATTTCACAGGGGAGACCAGCTTTCACGGTCTGTGATGCGTTTTTCATGGCCGTGAATTTGGTAGGGCCCTACTCATGGGATAAGAAGGTCCTCTCCTGGATCGGTAACTGGTTACGAGATAGGAAACAAAGGGTAGGAATAAATGGTCAGTTTTCAGAATGGAGAGAGGTAAATAGTGGTGTCCCCCAAGGGTCTGTACTGGGACCAGTACTGTTTAACATATTAATAAATGAGCTGGAAAAAGGGGTAAACAGTGAGGTGGCAAAATTTGTAGATGATACAAAACTACGCAAGATAGTGAAGTCCCAGGCAGACTGCAAAGAGCTACAAAAGAATCTCACAAAACTAGGTGACTTGGCAATAAAATGGCAGATGAAATTCAATGTAGATAAATGCAAAGTAATGCACATTGGAAAACAATCCCAACTATACATGTAAAATGATGGGATCTAAATTAGCTGTTACCACTCAAGAAAGGGGATAGATAGTAAGACAGAAAATATCATATTGCCTCTGTATAAATCCATGGTATGCTCACATTTTGAATACTGCGTGCAGATATGTCATCCCATCTCAAAAAAGATATATTGGAATTGGGAAAAGTACAGAAAAGAGCATCAAACATGATTAGAAGTATGGAACAGCTTCCATATGAGAAGAGATTAATAAAATGGATTTTTCAGCTTGGAAAAGAGACTACTAAGGTTATGATAGAGGTCTAGAAAATCAAGACTGATGTGGAGAACGTAAATAAAATAGGAGAAGGTGTTATTTACTCTAACACAAGAACTCAGGGTCACCAAATGAAATTAATAGGCAGCAAATTTAAAACAAACAAAAGGAAGTATTTCTTCACATGACATACAGTCAACCTGTGGAACTCTTTACCAGAGGATATTGTGAAGGCCAAGACTATAACAGCATTCAAAAAGAACTAGCTATGTTCATGGAGGATAGCTATTGATGGACCTATTAGCCAGGATGGGCAGGGATTCAAAGCCATGCTCTGAAGTTTCCCTAGCCTCTGTTTGCCAGAAACCTGGAATGGGTGACAGGGGATGGATCACTTGATGATTACCTGTTCTGTTCATTCCCTCTGAAGCACCTGGCATTGGCCACTATCAGAAGACAGGGTACTGGGCTAGATGGACCACTGGTCTAACCCAGTATGGCCGTTCTTATGACAGCTATAGCATCATACTTATAGAATCCAGCCTGCAGGACTTAGCAGCTCAGAGAGGGAATGGATTCAGACATTGCAACTACCACCCTCAATCAGCACTAGTTTGAAAGAAAGTACAGCCACCTCTTTTGGGGCTTTAAGTCTACTTCTGCATAGATCACTGGTCAGTGGAATTCAGAGTTACACAGTTTTAGACTCATTTCCTCTCTGAGGAAGTGTTTTAGTAGTTCAGTATGAGGCAAGAGCTCACAAGGAGGCAAGGCTGTGAGCAGATGGAGTACTCATGCTGCTCTGAAGATAGTAGACACACTGAAATCCAAACTCAACACCTTCCTGGCATCTGACTTCATTAACAAAGCAAACATCACAAATCCTAGTCCAGACTTTCTCCAGTTATATGGCCATTTCCATGTCTCCTCCCATAGGCCTTCTCTGCCCTAGATCCTTCTCCCAGACAGCTAATTCTACCTCCTAATGTCCAGGGTTGAGGTAACAAGCTACATGTGTCAAAAAGTCAATAAGTTAGTACCTCCCTGCATGAGCAGGGAACATCCCAACAGAGGAACCCAACCACCCTGTTGTTAGAGCATACAAGAGAGTTTGTATTATTTTGGGGCCTGCAGAATAGGGAAGAGAAATAGAAAGATTTAAAAAAAATTACTTTAGGGTAGGGATTTGGCTTGAAAGGGTGGGGATGAGAGGCAGATGATTTGAGAAGTGAGAATGATCCCCATGTTACTCTGAAGAATGTGAAGTTAGCCCTGGTCCACTAGAGGGCATTTGTGCACCTATGTATTGCATTGAGGGCCCAGACACCCAAATGTATTATAATGTAGAGGCTTTTTCTGGTGTAAAACTTTAGTTCTTCCAACTTCCAATGTTTACATTGGCTTCTGCTTAGTTTATTCAAGTTTTTCAAGGCTTTTTAACTGTTTGCTCTGTATCAGGTCACTCTACTGAGAAACTACTGGAAGAGCAAAGTGAAGCATGAATGGCTAAGTGGAAAATATAGCAACATTCACTCACGCTGTGGCTTACCAGAAAAAAGCATGTATCCCATGGATGCTGATACATGGGGAGAAATACTGGAAGCAGAACTGGAGAGATAAGAAACCACATGGATCTTAAATAGCAAGAAATGGCACAGAACTGACTGTTTTTACTGTAAATATTTAGCCATTCACACCAGTGACATTTGCAAATATGTAATAGAAACTTCACTGGAAAAAATGTATAAATACAGAGTTTATTTTTATTTTGCACTTTATCAGAACAGCTTGTTGTAAAAACCCTGAATGAGATATAAACTATACAATGTAATTATTTTTAAAGATCTGCTGTACTGTTACACAGATGTTAAGTCTTGGACTGACTTTTCATTAGGCACTTTTTGAAAAAATAGAAAACAAATTAGTTTTTTTTTCCACTTGAAATTCGTATGAAACAGAACCATGAGAAGACCATAGGCATGGGAAATGGAGGGGATTGACTACCGTATTAGCATCAAAGCCACTGGGTATGAACTCCTTCAGGCTGGCCCTCTTTACCATCAGGTTCTACTTGAAGTACAGTTATGGTCAGAAGAGTGACTGTAGTAGTGCCTCCTTCTTAGTCCACTGACCTGCTCCTAGTGTGTATTCAATCACAGCAACAAAAATCAGCAGTTAAGTTTTATCTTTTACTACTGCAGAAACTACTATGGGTAACTGAGCTGGATATACTTTGACTTAATTCAGGTTACATTAAGATTTATAGTAGAGTTCTCCTTGAAATGGAATAAGGGTTACATTTCTCCAATAAACCTCTTTAAATCTAGAGTTGAAACCTCACATACAATAGGAAGGGAATTCAGTCATCCTCTTACCCTCACCCAACCTCCAGCTAGTTGACACCTCCTCCTCTTTGCTTCTGGGGCAAAGAGATTTCTACATATCACTTCACTTTTGACGGCTTGAGTTCAGCCTTTGTAATAAGGGGATGTGTTAGAGAACTCTTCAGGGGAAGAGCAAATCAGGAAGGTCAGAGGACATTGTACAGCTGGGTTCAGGAAAAGGGTAGATGAATTCATGGAAGGGAAGCAGTAGTGGGAGAATGGAAAACAAAAGGGATTGCACAGAAGAACAGTGAGAAAACAGCAGCCTGGTACAATAAACCACCTCTTACGCTCATTTTGTAGGCCTGGTCTATACACAGTTTTTGTAGTGATATAAAATTTGATTTTTTTTTTAACAAATCGTTCAGTTGACACAACCTCTATTGTGGACACAGTTATAAAGGTGCTTATAATTGCATCCACTCTGGGGGGAGGAGGGGTCATACTAATTTACATAGGTTTTAAACAGATAGAATGATGTTTAGACAAGCCCTGTCAGAGCATCTTCCATACAATGTATTGTAAAATGTTTTACAATGAGAACCAAGCAAACTGATGGGTGAGGTTTAAGAGAAGTTGTCTCAGAAGGAAGAGAAGAGAGCTGGACAGAGAACGTAATATAGAGAGGAGGCAATAGAGAGGGTTAGGATGGGGGTGAAGGTTAGAGGTTAGAGTAAGGGTTAGGGTTAGAGTTTGTGTGAGCATTAGAGTTTGTGTTGGGGTTAGGGTGAGCGTTAGAGTTTGGGTTATGGTTAGTGTTAAGGTGTAGAGTTTTTAGCTAGGGTTAGAGTGAGGGTTAGGGTTAGTGGGTGAGGGAGAGGGTTAGGGTTAATGTAAGGTTTAGGGTGAGGGTTTGGGTTAGGATTAGGGTGAGGGTTTGGGAGAGTAGGAGTTAGGGTTTGTGGAAGGGTTAGGGTTAGTGTTTGTGTTAGGTTTAGGGGTTAGGGTTATAGTGAGGGTTGGGGTAGAGTTAGGGTGAGGGTTGGGGTTAGGATTAGAGTTAGGGGTTGGGTTTGGATTAGAGTTTAGGGTTAGTGTGAGGGTTAGGCTGAGGTTAACTGTTAGGATTACGGTGAGGTTGAGGATTAGGGTTTAGGGTTAGGTTGAGGTTGAATGTTAGCGGTTAGGGTTTGGGTAAGGTTAAAGTTAGGGTTAGGGGTTAGGTTTAGGGTTAGAATTAGGGTGAGGGTTAGAGATTAGGGTTAGGGTGAAGGTTAGGGTAAGGGGTTAGTGTTACCTTTAGGGTTAGGGGTTAGGATTAGAGTGAGGGTTAGGTTTAGGGAGGATTAGAGTTAGGGATTAGGTTAGGGTTAGAGATAGCATTAGGGTTAGCATTAGAGCGAGGTTGAGGGTTAGGATGAGGTTGCGGGTGAGAGAGGCTAGGGTGAGGTTTTGGGTTAAGGTTAGTGTTAGAGTTAAAGTTAGGGGTGAGGGTGAGGTTTAGGATGAGGGTTATGGTTAGAATAAGGGTTAGGGTGAAGGTTAGGGTGAGGTTGAGAGTTGGGTTAGGGTTAGGATTTAGGGTGAGGGTTAGGAAGAGGTTGCAGGTGAGTGTTAGAGGTTAGGGTGAGGGTTAGGATTAGAGTTAGGGATTGGGTTAGGGTTAGAGTTAAGGTTGGGGGTTAGCGTTAGGATGAGGTTGTAGGTGAGGTTTAGACATTAGGTTGAGGTTTAGGGTTATGGTTAGAATAGGTTTAGGGTTAGGGTGAGGTTAAGAGTTAGGGTTAGCGTTACAGTTAGGGTTAGAGTAAGGGTGAGGATTAGGTTGAGGTGGAGGGTTAGGTTTTAGGATTCACTCTCTTGCGAAATTTCTGATCTTTATTCCCAGCGTCAATGCGGAGTCATCCCCTGTGTGCAATGGAGTCAGGGCTCAATTCTGCTCCCACCCCCCTGGGTTCAATCTACACTGACCTTCCCTCTGCATTTCCCCGCTGTCTGGGGTCTGTTCTTGGCTCACGTGACTCCTGGGGCTCCCCTCAGAGATGGATCCAGCTGTCAGCTGAGCTGAGCATCCCTGAGTCTCCTTCCCCTTCCAGTGTTGTTATATGGATCCCGACTTGGAAGTTGGGTTTGGGGTGGGGGCAGCTCCTCCCACTGAGAGGCCCAAAGATGCTGGATGGGGCAGGGAGTTAGGTGGGAAGCTGAGACACTGAGAGCCGCACAGCCCCGTGCCTGGCGCACCTCTCCCTGCAATGCTCAACCCAGTATTTCCCCAAGGATGGGAATGGAACCCAGGAGTTTTGGTCCCAGCCCCACTGCTCTAACTACTAGATACCACTCCTCTCCCAGAGACAAGGATAGAACCCTGAAGTCCTGAATCCCAGACCCTCTAACCACACGGCCCTGGTGTCCCAGTGAATCTACCCCCTTAATGGGTGCCCTGGGTACCCCATAATCACAACCCCCTGCCCCAGCCAGTCCCTGCTCAAGTTCCCTGCCCAGGTCCCTGGATATCATGAGGGGCAGCGACCCAGCCAGGGGAGGGGCAGGCCTGGCTTCTGGAGCTGTCCATGTCCAACCAAGTCAGTGGGAGCTGAGTCCTTCCCCTCCAGCCCCCAGCAACACCTGAGTCTGGGGGAAAGACAAGGGCTGGAGAGGAAGTGAAGTGCAGTCGTCTCTCTTGGGTGTGTGTCCTGCCCCTGCTCTCTGTGTTTGTGGGTGGGGGGCGGGAGGGGGGAGAAAGAGTCAGAGTGTGTGTGGGAGTGTGTGTGTGCAGTGTGTACCAGTGTGTGTGTGTGTGCTCATTGTGTATGAGCAATGTGTGTATGTGCAAAGTGCAAGGGTATGCATCTGGGTAGGGAGTGTGTTCCGGTGTGCGCTCTGTCAGCATGTGCGTGTCACTGTGCTCATGGGGGAATTTGTCCCTGTGTGTGTCTGATCTGGGGCTTTCTCACCAGCTGATCTTGTCAGAGTCTGATCCCCAGGTGTGTCCTGTTGGAGTAGGGATGACCTGGGCCCAGGGGGATCCGGGGCAGGCCGGGTTGGCCAAGCCGAGAGGGATCTGCGGCAGGATGGCAGGCCCAGGGGGATTCCATTCACCCTGCAGTGTCCCCTGGTGCTCACGGGCTCAGTGTTTGACACCACCACAGTTCTGGGGCAGGTCCAGATCTGGCCCTAACGGGGCTGCCCACAACCCCGTTAGCCTGGACTGGCCCCAGCCTGTCCCAGACAGGGAGTGAGGCCCCAGGGCCCGTCCAACTCTGCCCAACCCCGTTGGCTCCCCCAGTGTCGGTTGGGCCGTTGCTGGATCCCTCCCTGTGGTCTGGGGCAGGCTGCTCTCCCCAAGACATGCGGGGGTGGGGGAACCCTACACACCCAGGGGCAGTTTCACAACCCCAGGGCCCATGGGCTGAGGCTGGAGAAACTGGCAGAGGGACGGGGCTGGGAGTGTGTGACTGTAGATGGGAAAATTTTCCACCCAAGGTGCTTTAGAGCTCAGGGATGTGATGGGAAATGTCCCAGCTGAATGTGTCTGGCTGTAGAGCTATGTGTCCTGGCAAGATAAGGGCACCTGCCAGGGGTGCCTCGCATCTCCCCGTTCTCCCTCCAAGCTCCATGTGTGTCCCCCCTTCTACTTCAGAGTTACCTTGAGAGCCCTAAAATTCCCCCAGCCCCCTAAACACACTGACTCATTCTGCATTGGCAGGAAAGTGTTTTATTGCAGGAAGCAACAAGGAAACAAAACGCAGTGACAGCTTCCAGGCCCCGCCTCTGGGACAATCTTCTCCCAACAACATGTCCCCAATACTATGGATGTGGAGGGGGGAGGAGGCGACAGAACTGTATGATGGGCACCCAGTGAGGAGGCCACTGGGCTCAGGCTGAGGGTGTCAGTGCCAGCTGGGGGGCTGGGCATCCAGATTTTCACTCATGTGGATGGGAACTGAGCACCCAGCATAGGAAATCCCCCTACAGGCCCCAAGCTGCCAGCCTCTGGGATGAGGGGAGACACTGAATGTCTCTGTGGAGAGTCATGGCGGGCACTGCCCAGGAGGGGCAGGGATGGGGTAGGAGAGCCTCAAGCAATAGGGGGCTGCCCAGGAGCAAAATTGGGGAGCAGGGGAACCTCTGCTCCCAGACCATGGCCAGTGCGTGGGCTCTACAGGACTCTGTCAAAACGCACAGGCCTTCCTTGGCCACAGGTCACATGTATCCTGCTGGTCTGGGCTCTGCCTCAGTACATACAACACCCCGGGCGGGAGCCAGGCACCATCCAGCAGGTTGTCATGGGGTAGGCTGCGTTACTGTCACAGTGGTGGCATCTATCACACTGTGGCCGCAGATGGCTCGGAGCCGGCTGGGGGGGGGAGAGGATGAAGGTGTGGGTGGTTTTGCAGAAAGGGCTAGTCAGATTCCAGTATGGCATCAGGAGGTTGTAGCACCGATGGTCATTA